ATAGGACGGTAGTCTCCACACATGCGCCTATCCGTGTAGTTGCCATGTACATCCTTCTTCACCGGCATGACAGTGGCTGACGCATACTCACCATGCGATAACTCCACTAGTCCAGCCTCCAGTAGGTCCAACGTCCTACTCCGAATCAAATCTCTCTCCATCTCACTGTATCGATAAGGACGACGGAAGATTGGCGTATCACTAGCCAATTCTATCCCTATACCGGGTCCAATCAACGCACCCAACTCCTTCATACTGAAAGCAAAACAACTCCTATAGTCTCGTAAAAATTGTGTCAATCGTCGCCTCTCTCCTCCTGTGATCTGGGAACCAATCAATGGCTCCCATTCCTCCTCCATAGGCACACTAGAGGGAGGCGACACTGTCAATGGTTGCTACGCTACACACTGCAAAGAAGGGTTCTGTGTACCCTCCTTCGTAGCCACCTCCACGTGAGAATCCTCTCCAACTGCATGAGCTGCAACTCTGGCAAGTCCTTTCGTCACGTCCCATAAACTCCAAGGATGACGAATATCTCGCCTGTCGCCCCCAGCCATTGCCACTACCGTCCCGGTAGGCAATGAGCTAATAAGTGGTGTTACAACCACCAAATCTGCGCGCAAACGGCGTTGCTCGGCCAAACCCAAGCTCACAATCCACGTCAAGCAGTTCAGGTCCATAGCCTGACCCAAAACCTGACGACGCGACGCCTCTGAAACTGAAGAAGCCGCGGTCACACCAGTAAGAAACCCCATCGCACGCTCTCTCTCATCAGCGTTGGGCTCCACCAACTGATGTAGGGTACTGTACCATAGTAGTCCAGGTCCCCCATCACGATATGCATGTGATGCCGGATAACTGACAAATGTAGGTAAAGCCATCCGAGGCTGACCTACGCGGTTCACCAATGCCATAGGTGACCTGTCAGCAACTCTCACTACTTGCAAGTGCCGGGAAACATCCAAGATACTGTCAACGGTGAGTGTAGAATCACGCTGCACCGAATCATAGGCATGACGCAATATCTCACGTGGCAAAAGGTTGGTCCACCACAAACGTGCACGATGAGCCCGGGATTCAACCTTCGCAGCATCCAACAGTACTGCTGATCCAATCCATGCTCGGACTTGATGGACACTCGCCATCAACTGGGCCCGAGTGTCACCCAACAATGGTGCGTTCTCCAGAATGTATGCTAGAGAACGTGTCTGCTGCACTTGGAGATGACGTAACACTCGCATCATCTCCCAAAACATCCGAGATCTGGGATCATGCAACCCTGTCCCATGTCCAGCGCGTGTGTGTCCCTGACATGGCCAGCCCGCAATCACCATATCAATATGGCCAACACGGTCAAGGTCTGGCGCCCCCAGCAACGAAATGTCTGAAGGCAACGCCTTTTGGAATCCTCGGACAGCTGATCGCGGCAACAACGAAGGAAAACGCCGCATCAACTGTGCAACATGTCGTGAAGAGACTCGACGTGCAGTCTCGTCCTTCTTCACATACAAGTATCTCCGTACGGGAATACCTGACTGCAACACCGCAGCCAAACCGGTGCTGATCCCACCAAAAAGATCCAGCAAACAAACGCCCTCTGAGGAATACTCCCATGCAATAGGTGTAGTAACCAATGGAGACAATGCGCTAAAACCACCAACTATCCGATCAGCTGAAGCCCTCTCTAGCTTTGCTGGTAAAGAGGCTTCACTCCAAGCCTTTTTTACCAACCTATCAGCTTCCAACTGTAGTGCCTGGCACGAACTCCACAGTGGAACATCTAAGGGTGAAGTCACCGCCGCTGTGAAACTCACAACCTCCTCCACATCCTCGTAGACTGAGGTATCGTCGGCAGACATGTTCCCCTCCAACAAGTCATCGGGCCAGGTAAGCACTCCGCTAAAACCTGCTACAGATGCCAAGACCGCTTACGAAGATCCAAGAGGTCGATCCCGAGAAATAAATCTCACTAGCAGCTCGCTCGAACGTCCATCTCCGGACTGCCAACCAGGACGATATGCGGCAGTCTCCGTCCAATAGTCCATCCGGAAGCCCATCGGGTATAACACCACTCCACCAACAAGCACATCATATGACTCTGCTGATGTAACCACAGCACGAACTCCAAACTGCGAGCTATCATGAGGGTGAGCATGCCTCAATTGCACCGCTATGCTCTCCCTGGTCATAAAGTAAGACCTATTGCTGGCACCACCAAGGGATGTCTGGATCTGGAATGGGCAAGGTTCCAACTCGGACCTCCGAATGCCCAAACTAATGCATGCAGCCTTGCCCAACATCAAGGGCTGTGCACCAGAATCCAACAAAACTCTGGCTGGGACATACACCTGTCTAGTAGAACTCACTAACCGAAATAGACCACTTCGGTTGTCCACCATACATACACCAGGGACAATACTCTCGCGATCAATGGCTGGGCGAGCTGGTAAGGACTCCATCCTCGCCGCTGCGGCCTGCCAAGTCGTCTCCTCGAACAATGTAGACGTTGAGGATGGGTCCTCAACTGTATCCTCACTTATCTCGGCACTAGTAGCAGCGACTCTCCCACGCTCACACGACGTGGCTGCTACCCGAAATACTCGAGCCAAATCAATACCAGAGTCTATCAACTCCGTGGCTGAGAACAATGGAGATTGCAAGACTGAAGTGGCCATCCGCATCACTGCACTAGATGGCACGTCTGCGCCCACAACAGATGATGTAAGAACCTCAGTTCTCACTCTAGTGTCAGTAGGCGGTGCAGGTCTCATAGATGAACTGCTACCCACCTCTGACAACAAAAAGGACTGGGGAAGTCTAGACTGACGTCCACCCTCACCCCTCTGAGGGTCCAACTCCACAGTCGCACCACGTGGCTCTGAAGTGCGAGCACCACCTCTGGTCACTGCAACTGATGCCTCAACCTGTGCTGCACTGGCCAAATAGGAGAAATCCTCTCCCTCGTAAGATGTGGAAGTGCTCGCCCCCAGACCGGCCATAGCAGCAAGCCTCTGCTCCAACTGCTCAATCCGAGCAGCCATAGCGCTCTCTGTGGCAGAAGTAGCACTCGCTGCGGTACGCTCGATGGCCCCGGTACCTCTACCACCTCTGCCACCTCGACCACCTCGGCCTCGCGGAGCATCACCTCCACGACCTCTAACTCCAGATCTCAACTCAGGATGAAGGTCAAAGCAACGCTCTCGAGGGTGACCCGGTCGATGACAATGATCACAGGTCACCTGTGCCGGCTGAGGCCTAGCCTGTGGAGTTTGTCCCTCTCGCTCCTGGGGACAATCCTTCCTCATATGGCTACCTCCGCATGTCCAACATGACGGTCCCTGTGGCTGATCCGAAAATGAAGGCAGTGGTGGCCGCGCACTAGGCTCTCTGTGACCTGAAGGATGTCGTGTATGACCTCCACGACTCCCACTTATGGGGCGAGACTGTGCTGGGCTATGTGGGATACGCGAGGTAGTGGTCGTGTCCCTCGCAAATGTAGACGTCACCACCCTCTCCTCCACCATGTTAAGCTCAATCTTCTCAGAAAGAGCAAACACATGGGCTAATGTGGGTGATGAGTCGCTCATGAGAGTAGCATCACGCACTCTCCTCCGCAACTCTTTGTCAAGGATCCGATACCAGTACTGGACAGCCTGTGCCTCAGTCACACCGTGAGTAACTGAGATGAGCCGTCGCATACGAGTGTATGCCTCACGAAGACTCTCACCAGTCTTCCGCTCAAACTCTTGGAGGCTCCTCAACTTCTCCGTTTTCACCCCTTGATAATTCTTCCTCAATCTCTAGAAGAACTCAGGAATGGGGCTAAACGAAGGTACGCCACTAGCATCTCCCCTCGTGCTGCCACCGGCAATGCTAACAGTACCGCTGTTGGTACTAGTACCAGTTGCGCCAACTGCTCCACTGGTACCCTCGCTGATGCTACTACTCGCACCTCCACTAATGCCGATACTCGCAGCTCCACTGGTACCCACACCACCCTGGGTAATGGATGAGTAGTTCGGAGACCAATGCCGTCTCCATGCATCAATCTCTACAGCATACTCTCTCCCAAACTCATGATAATCGTCCATGGGAGGCCCCTCCAAATGCTGGAATAATCCCTTCCATGCAAAGAAGGGTGTAAACAACGTGGGGTTACGCAGAAACTGCATATCACACCACGTGTCGAACTCCTGAATAAAATCATTAAGCTCGATGGTGCCCACTGCACCAGAGTAACGTCGAGGGCCCTTCGCGGCCCCGTACATCCCGTCCATGTCCCAAATCAATGGGGTGGGGACACTAGACGATATCACCACCAAAGACTCTGTGTCTGCAACACTCTGGTCCTGCTCCGCAACAACTGGCGAAATAGGTGAAGGTAGCCGATACCTCAACCCACTCCGCGTAAATCCCCCGCGGTCCTCAATAGGACCACTAGACTGCTCCGTGATGGCGAGACTTCAACTGGCACCACTGCCAGATCTCCACCCAATCTCCATCTCCATGGCGCCTCTGATGCCGTGCTGCACTAAGCTACTCTAGCCCTACTAGCTAAGGTGTATGGGCAACCTAACCTGTCATCACAGCAAGAAGACTCTCACGGTCTACTGGTCATCACTCCAGTCTCACCGTGAGAGAAACATAGATAGACCGGCCGGTGATCAAGTCCAGCCCCCTATCGTCAGCACACAGGAGTAAAACTACTCCGGAAATCAGCATCACCCCTACACGGGCGCGCACCAGGAAGCAAGACTGGAGAGGATCCAAACACAAGCAACCAGCTAGCAACGACTCTCCAGTCTAAAGGAAACACAGCACAAAACAAGACAACACACACGGGACATCGCATCGCTTCGCGATCCCGATTCGATCTCCATCGCCCTCCATTTACGTGGGCCTCCAGTGCCTATGATGCCCTCTTCCACCAAATTGCAAACAAAAATTGTTTGAAAACTTTCTTCTTCTTTTTTTTTCTTTTTCTTTTTTTTTTCTCCTTCACACAGGGGTCACACTGCCCCTCAACAAACACACTACACCCTGAAAGCTCAATATATTGACTACGTCATATATATATTTACAATGCTTTCAAAACATCACGTCACAGGTAGTGAAACCGGGTGCAAACTCCCGATCTCTTCAGGAACTCCTATCTAAACGCTACAAGTAATTGCTATCAATCCTTTGGGAGACTATCAAGAAATTTCTCTAGTACAAGAATTTCTTTTGAAAGACAATCTTGAACATACTGAACATCTCTCAAATGGTCAGCAATATCCTGTGGAAGGTCTAGTAACTCATCTTCACATACCCTATACTCTAGGCCGGATTCCTCTAGAAGTTTCTCTACGGCTAGTGCCTCGTCCCAATCTAACCCGGAATCTTTTTCTTCTGCCACAACAGTGTTTACCGGATTCTCTTCTACTTGAGGCTGCACCGTCACCTCTTGCTCCTGATCACGTTCCTCGCTACTGACGACTTCCACTGTCTGGATTTCTTGTATATCACTGTCATCCGCTTTTTCTCCAAGCGGCATTTTCCCTTTATAGTTAACACTTCACTGTGTACAAGGATATTTGTTTTTACAGAGAATCTGTAAACTAAATCTGAAGGGAAAACTGAAAACTGTTTAACTATAAAACTATTAAAAGGGTTTAATAGTTTCAAAGATTTTGGCATAAACAAATTCACTTTAACTAGTGAAATCGAAATTTTCTACTGCAAACTTAGCACTGCTGTATTTTATCACTAAAAACTGATACAATAAAATAAAAGGGCTAAGAAGAAGGAAAAGATGAAGTCACTTGCAAACAAGTTGGCCACACTCTGATACGACCAGGTTCAGGCTCCAACTATATGATAGTGTGGCCCTTATTCAAAGCCCTTTCTTACTGTAAACCCTTTCCTGATCCATCTAAAGGTTTTGGTTTATATCCTAGAACTTGATCTTGACTCATCCACCGATTCAGTTTTTGAAGTCCTCCAAAAATGTAACCTTGCCAATGACTCAAAAGCCACAATATGTAAATCAACTACACGCTGTTAAAAATAACAGCAGGTTTCAACCTCTTGATCCGCTTCTTCACCCTGAGAGTGGTAGTGACCTTCACCTTCGACCCATCCTCTTTGTTCCTCAACTTAGTGATAATCTTTCCACTCTTCGGAAATTTGATCAGAAAAACTCTGTAGTGTCTTCAAGCTAAACGAACCAGGTGTATATAGTACTCCTGAATCCTAAATTACGGACATTTATTTTCAACGCTCTACTGCAGGCAACAATCTTATAGTCATGGAAGTGTAGATTTGAGTAACAGTAGATTTTAACTAGGTGTTCTCACTTACTATCCTTGGCTCAACAGCTAGCCAATGATGGCTACTTTTCGTGGCAATCTACCAATTAAATATAAACATTCGGATCCAGAAATGCTAGGAGTTGTATTGAAAATACTGTATGTATGTAATACTGTATTTTCAGTACTCGTTTCTTTTCAAAACAACAAATAGATTTCCCGAAGGACTCCCAAACATACTGATACTAGGTCAAATGAGATCAGAATCGGAAGTTTAGAGTAAACAGTAAACTCGACTCGCTCAAATAGCCAAGTGTAAGTTGCACGTACCAAGACTTTGACTCTACAGTAAAGTGTCATGGTTTCAACAAGTAACGAAGCCTGAGAAACCTCTGACCTCCCCCGTATGAAACCATGTACTTCCACAACCTGTGAATGGAATCTCCAGGTGACGTATTCAACGATCTCTCATAACCTGAGAGTAGTATCCAAGCATTTAAGAACTGAAGACGAGCACCTTCGAGAAAGTGAAGCCCTCGCAGCCGACCACCCTGTTGATAAGTGGTGGGACCGAGTACCTGACTTTTGAATCAGTACGTCTTGAAGAATTTGGGCTCCCAGAAATCAGAGGATGGTCAATCTCCAATAGGTACAGTAGACGTATTCACGAGCTCCACCACTCCTTCTGTATTCTCTGCTGCTACCTCTGTCACAGACCACCGTAAACACCACCACTAAAGTGCATTTGTCACAAGGAAGCCGCTAATCTGCCCTACACAAGTACTTGTGTTCCTTTCATCATGACCATGTGTCTTGTGTTGAATCCGCCCGTGAGCAAGCCCTATCACATCACTTACACTATATTGTTTCGTACTAGGACATTATACCCCACGAGCTACACTTCACATCGTATATATAGTCCCACTGCCTTGTCTCGACTTTGGTGTGGCAGTAGTTCAATTTCTAACGTATCACCTGTATAGCTTTGCCGACATGCTGGACCTAGAACACTCTAGCGTTGGCCACTGTAATTACTCTCTTCCTCCGCTCGAAGTTGTGCAAACACTGACTGCGAACTGCGTTCCGTGGGTAGCGGTGGGGATTTATGACAAATGGAGATTCGACTCCCTACAGGTGTGGCACAACACGTACACTGGAGTTTCAGATTCGCAGCATACTGTAAAGCGGATCCAGTGTCACATAGCTCGGAATACAGAACAGGACCTGAAACTCCAATCAGGTTTACTAGTGCATCGGCAGCGGACAACGGGCACCGAGGGAGGCGAAGTAAATAGAGGAGGAATAATTATTCACCACTGATTGAGAAATTATAGCTAATGCGTCACAGTCCTTGACTTCTACAAACCGTAATGTAGTTGAAGTTCAGAGCAACGATGATACTCTCCCGCAGGACCTCCAGGGCCGCAAACCGAGTTGTGAGCTCTGCGGTGCAATCAGTAGTGGTAGAACAGTCCGCACGCACTGAAAAGATCCGCGTAGTTGATAGAGTCGTTCAGATCGTAGAAACTGCCGCTCTTTCGGAGCTCTAACCATGCATCGACGTCCACCAGAAACTTTCCGCCACAAAGTATCATTCTGTACTTTCCTCAGACACGCTCTGCAATCTTCGAACCACCTTCGAACGAGCTCACCGACTGCCTAAAACCTAAAACATCGTCCGCGCTTGGTCGATAAGTTTAGGACCTCTGCAGACGATCTCGGCAACTGTCTCCCAAGACAATCGATACTCTCTTCTCTTGCAATAACGACTGTTGAACCACGATCGATGCAAACCGAAAAGTAAAACTCTCAAACCCGACCGATCTGAAGAACCAAATCTCGAACGAACTTCAATCCAAAAACAAAGAACCAATCGACCTGCCACTCCTCGAAGGATCTCATGCACCGCAACCACAACCAAGGCAACACTAACACCGATAGCGAAACCTGTAAAACAAATTGTGAAAAATTCCGCTATTCACAACCTACGTGAGTTCTTCGAGTGAAATAAACGGGAGATTCCCCACTGGAATTCCCGTCGGTCAATTACCCTACTGGCAACAAACCGTCACCGTCACAAACATGAGTCAAGCCCAACCCACTCCACACTCGGAGAATCCAGGTCGACGCAAAGGGAAAAATCACTCTACGCTCCCATGTAATAACCCACTAAAGGCTAAAACTGCAATATAGTGGTAGAAAGGTCGAACCCACAGGGACAGAGGAACACACAGGGTACAAAGTGTCACGTTTAACAGACTATTGATGAGTTTGAATTCTCAGGCGACTGTCACTCCCAGAAATACTGCAAGTGTCCACTTGGAGCGCACTCGGAGGTCGCACAGTGCAGCGTAACACACACACACACACACCTGAAACTACAGAAATACAACCCAGAGATCCGTTAGGACCTCTACTTCAAGATTTCAGGGGGAAAGTCTCTCGCGAGCACACTCGGCAAAGCTGCGGGCAGTGACTTCCAACTCCGGCTTTTACAACACTTCCACTAGCTTGCTGCTAGTGTAGGAAACCCGGTTTGGACTGCCTACTTCGGATCGAAGTCACTCATACGCGGTGAACAACACTCTCAACTCACAAAACGCGCAGAGAACACAGGTCCGCACTGAAGGACTCACTGAGAAACATTCCAGTAACACAACAACAGTCTATTGAAGAGTTTGAATTCTCAGGCACTTGTCATTCCCAGAACTACTACAGGGGTTACCCTCAAGGCACCTGCTGCAGCGTAACCTGAATTTACAACCAAGGCTTACACGAAGTAGCAAAACTTCACTTTGGCATTCAGGGGAAAAATCCCAAGGGAGTACAATCAGAAAGAAACACTCGAAGGTGCAGGGGCGAAACTGTTCAAGTATCTAACTAGTCACTGGCTCTGAGCATCGGCAGTCACCCGCAGGTACAGATCCGAACTACTCACGTCTCTAACCAATGTACTAGCTCTGAACATTCGGCCGAAGACCTTCAGCTACAAAATGCGGAACGCTAAGTTGTAACTCCTCGTGCGTGGTGACCGAACTCAAGGACACAAACACGCAAAGGAAATGGGTTCCTGATCTGCACTTCTGATGGGAAAGAACCCCAGGCAAAACGCCTGGAACTATTTTATACCTTCTAAGTCCTACCTAACACTACACTGCACTACCATGGTGCGAGCCGCAACAGATCCTACACCTGAGGAGTCGGCGGCTGCCTTCCCCTCTAACTTACAACCTAAATCTAACCCTAACCCTAAATCTGAATCCTAAGCCTACTGTACAGAGCCGCCAGCGCCTTACCATCCAAGATCTGAGGCTAAAAATTTGCAGGCATGCGTGGCCGGCCGAGATCAACGGCGCCACAAAATTTCAGATCCATCCGACCGTCCATCGCAAAGATATGGGCCCCGCAAGATCTCTGAACCTAGGCCAAAATTCCTTCTCCAAAATCCGAGGACTGTGGATCCCACGCGTCCTACACGCAAGCCGCCTACTCGCAGGCCGCCTTGGGCCGAAGGCCCCTCTAACTGTTAACGCCGAAGGCCTCACGCCTAACCATGACAGCCGCTTTCGACGCTCATAACTCATTGACGCCTTATCCGTTTCAAGAGATCTTGGTCTCGTTGGAACCAACTCGTCGAGTTCTTTCCAACGAGACCCGAATCAAGTCAAACTGCTAAGAATTGAGAAAGTTATGTTGGTTTTACTCTTCCGCCGAAGGCGTTCGCCTATCCACAGTCTGTCCGCGGCGCTGACCTGTCCGTCCGCGGCGATGACCTGGCCGTCCGCGGCGCTGAGCTGTCCGTCCGCGGCGCAAAGCTGGCGCAGAAGGCGCCGTACACTTTCTACCTCACAAGGCGCATTTCTAGGGCCCAAGGCGGATTTCCCGCCGACGCCGAAGCGCCTGTGCACAGGCGAATTCCTGTGCGCAGGCGAACTTCCTTCGTCCGCGCATAGGACAAAACTTTCTTCGCCTGTGCGCAGGCGGAAAGCTGAGTATCTTGCGACCTTCATAACTCCCTGAATTCTCCTCCGTTCGTGGCGTTCTTGGGCTCGTTAGAATCAGCGCGTCGAGCTCTTTCCAACGAGACCCTAACCAAGTCGAGGCGTTGCGAATTGAGAAAGTTATGAGGGATTCACTCCTCCGCCGAATGCACTCTCCCGCATCGCCGAAGGCGTTGACCCGAAGGCGTTGACCGAAGGCGTCTACCGCCCAAGGCGCATCTTCCGGCGGTTCTTCCGCCGAAGGCGTACCGCCAAAGTCGCTCTACCGCCGAAGGCCCCCCCATTAGTAACTTCCGACACTCATAACTCAATGATCTCTCATCTGTTTCACAAGTTCTTGGGCTCGTTAGAACCAGCGCGTTGAGCTCTTTCCAACGAAACCCTAAGCAACTCAAAGCGTTACGAATTGAGAAAGTTATGAGTGATCTACCGCCGAGGGTGCTCGAAGCGGATCCTGCAGCATGAACCGCCCGTTCCGTCCCAAGCGTCCCACTGTGGCCTAAGCCCAAAACCCCTTGACTGTCCTCGATCCTCTGGTTTTGCGTACCGATTACTATTTACAGCTACTGCCGCGGTACTTACTATTCAAAAATGTTTTAGTTCTGACAAAAAACAAAAAGTGGGTTACCACATCCCAACGCTTCCAGGCTCGACTCGAAGAACTGACGTTCTTCGAGCCGTCCCCGACTGTATACCCCTCGTGACCGGAACCCTAACTTTACGGCTAAATATAGTAAGTGTCTGAACTTCGTGAGCCGACTCGTAACTACATGACATACAAGAAAGTATAAGTTTTGAAATTGAACTTTGAAAATTGCAGCTATGCTAAAATAGCTAAACCATAAATCTAGAACCTTCAAGGAAGACTGTGAGTCTGATCAAACCGTTAACCGACAAAACAAATTCTAAATGAATTTCATGTTATGAGAGACATTTGCAGAATAAGTAGGTACCAAAAAAAACTCTAAGTGCATATGTTTTTGAAAAATGTAAGTTATTTATCACCCAAAAAGAAATTTGATTAGTGTTGGATCAAAGCTAGCTTGTATCTATAAGATTGAACTATGTTAAAAGCGTCTTAAGAAAATTAAAACTTGAAATAATCTAAAATATCCACAAATAGATTTGATAAATTGCATCATGTTTTAGTCAAAGAATGTATGTTACAAATCGCTTTAGCGTTGTTTCAAAATGTATTACTTCTAAAACACTAAATCAAAATTGAGTGAAAAAAATTTGAATGAAAGTGCTCAAAGTCTAAAATATAGATATTTCAACACTTTTTAGTGATAAATATTGATCAAAATTATATCTATACATTTAAAATTATCTGACTATATATTCATATAATCTTTAATTTTGTGAGCTGATCTAATTATAGAGTATTTTGCTCTATGGTATAAACTTTGTAAACAAGCCAACAATATCAAGAGTGCAAAAAATCATGAGTAGTAAGAAATTTATTCAATCAAAAATTAGTAAATAAATTATAATAGAGTGTAAAATTGGTGTAAAGTAAGAAAAAAATGCAAACAAAATTTTGTAGCTCATTAAATTTATTTTGGAGTATTTTTCAGTAAAAATTGGCTTAAATAAATTTGAGTTTTTAATGTTAATCTCTGATATGAAATATTATCATCAAATTACTGATGATTGATAACTTCATCTTGCCGTCAAGTGAATAATAAATGATTTTCCATTTACATAAATATTTTTTGAAAACATCTAAGTGTTGACTTGTGATTTTCACTCCTATACTATTTGCAAAAGCAAATTGCTTTGACTTTCAATTTATTATTCTTAGCTTGCTGAAACTATCTCATATGAAGTTTATAACATATACTAATCAAATTTTCAATCCTGTAAAAAAGTGAAAAATAAAACACTTTTTTCACTAATTTTTTTTAAACTTTTTCATAGAATTTTTCACGTCAAAGAGCAATATTCAAACATTGCGTACAAAATTCTGTTGATAATATTCACAAAACGCACAAAAACATCAAAAACATGCACACGGTACAAATAAAGTGATTCCTTCATTTTGATAAGTTCACAAGAATATGAATTTTTTTTATAAAAAAAATATATTTAATTGTGTTAAGGAAACAAACTAGATTTGCTGCACTTAGAAGTCAAAATCCAATACTAAAACAGATCTTAAAGAAAACTAGCCAACACCAATAGAAATCAAGCTAACAATCCCATCCTTAACTCATGTAAAAAGAATTAAACTTTATAAACTATATAATGTTTAAGTGAGAAACTGTAAAAAAAAAATCTAATACACATCATCTATTAACAAGATGAAATCAAAACTAAAACATAGTAAAAAAATGTATAGATACACAAAGATAACAAAAATTGTTAGAAATTTTTTTTTTTGTTTTTCATGCAAAACTTGCATATAAAACACAATACGTCATAAAACTCTCTAGATTTGTAATTTAATCAGTTCATCAACTATATTTTTTTTCTTGTTAATCTTGAATAGCTAAATCATTTTATTAAAAATTACATGTTTGATAAAATGATGTTGATGAATTTCACTTTCTTGTTTACTATTTACTTTGCAACAAGATTCAATGCACTAACACAATAAAGATTGACAACTTCTTGATTCAAACACAACCCAACAATATTTGTTTTTTTTGTTAGTTTTATTGCC